TAAACGTACTCATCACGTGGTTTTGTTTATGAAATAAAAAAATCATTAATTGTAGTATAAATACACTGTTTCAAGACTTTTAACTGTTCGATCGGACAATAAACAATAGTAACGGAGCTAATAAAACAAACCTGAGCTCTCTACGATGTCTGGTTAAAAAGTTTTTCTTCAGACGAACGAGCAGCCGAATGAATGAACGAACGAACATTTCGCATTATTAAGCTCCCTTTTTGTATACAAGTATACAAAAATGCAAGATCAAAAAAAAATCAAGATTAAAATTATATGAATACTCACATTTTTTTCACTCACATGATCGTTTTTGGTCGCTGCTCACAAAACCATGCATCGAAGGGATCGTGAGATTGTCATAAATATGAGTCCCAAAAGATTTTAAAATGTTTAGATATCAAAGTCAAACATCTTTGTCTAAATGTAAGTAATAAAGGAAATAAAAGTACAGTCATTAAGAATAATTTTAAAAGGACCAAATTGGTAAATTGGAATCAACAAAAGTGATATTTTTATTGTACTCTTAATAGAAAAAATCATATGAAGAAAACCACTTATAATCTACGTGACATGACTACGTTAAACGATTTCAATTGAATTCATAAAAAAAGCAAGACACATAAAGGTTTTAAAATATGAAAATCCCTTTCCATCAAATGAAGCATTTATGATAATTTGTTTTACAAATATAATCCAAATGGTCTACGACAAATGGACGATATTATTGAAACAAATACGTCAGATCATCCCTTTTTTTGCTCCATACCACAGTCCTATGGATGGGATAATAGATTCTTTTTATGTTATGCAATAAAAATAATGTGGTTCAACAGTAAAACATGCTCAAAACAAATAGGGGAGAATTGCTACCGTAACCACTTGTTCATTTTTTGAAAACAAGAAAGTACAAAAAAAAAGTCTTGGCGTCACTTTTATGTTTTCGTTTGTTTGTCCTTTCTTTACTGATTTAGCAGAAAAATACTGACTTTTATTGATGTTTTCTTCTTTTATTATATATTGCTTGCATATGGATATACAAATAGTTAAGTACATTAACATTATTGACGATCTGCTCATTCCTAGTTTTTGTGCTGTAATTTTTGGAAGTGTCGGAACAATATTAATAAGTAATTATTGATTATAATCATAATTCAATGAATGTCGCCCTGTCGTTTCAAATAAAGATACTAATAATTAGCCATAGGAATTTTTTCATATAGCAATATCTCTGTTAAATTGCACAACAAAATCAAATTATTGAGGTAGTGAAATATAACAATTTACAACGGGGAGAATGGACATTTTCAGTGACTATGAAAGATAAATTTAAATTGGAAAATTCATATCGTTGATTTCAATCTGTGAATGCTTCTGTTTACTTCGTTCTGCTAGGGGAGAATTGTTTTCAAAATAGCAATAAAAATGTGTGTACAAGAACGAAAATTTTCATGGACATAGCCATGCCGTGATCTTGAATTTTTTTTTTTCGTTTCTCTGAGAGAATAGCTCCAACTTTGAGACTTTCAGTAGTTTTGCATTTGTGTCTTGATGCTTTTTAAACAGTTTTAAAATACAAGAAGGAACACAATTTTTTATAAACTATTTAATTTAAAAAAAAACCTAAAAACTGGAAACGATATTGGGTCATACTTTCAATAGTTCCACACAATTATTTAAAATGTTGATTACGTATACGTAAGTTTTACACAAAATATTCCCCTTTAAATGTTGGACGTTGGATGTGAATGAATAACTTCTTCAATCTCAATGCATATGGTTTATTATTGCAATAAGCAGCAATAAGCTGTGAATAAACAAGAATTGTAACAAATTTTCTTCACATTCATCATAAATTGTTATTTGTTGACTCATTTATTGTTTTTTCAAAACATGATTCAAACTCCCCTATTTTTATGTTGCTAGAAAGTGGCTTATGATTTATTTTCAACTCGATTTTGGCTTAAACTTGACTTGTTTATTAATTGAATTCCTGCTTTTGCGAAGTATACAATTCAATTCAAAAAGTCAAACTTCATCCTTTTTTGAAGTTTCTCAATTCCTGATCTCATTGGATCCCGTTGGATCTTAGGTTCTAAACATTGCTAATATTCTACCTGTATATGTTTTTGGTTTCAAACATGACTTGTTTATATTGAACGATAATTACATTAACTGGTCTAAACTGAGATAATACGTCTACTTCACCTGTTTAGATCTGATATCATAACTTACAAATTGAAGGACTAGGGATTTCTTTTGGATGAGTTTTAGGAAATTTTCATCAAACAATCGATTTTTTTTTCTAAAATTTTCTACTGTCGGCTCTCATTTTATTGGTTTAATTAGTGCATTAGGCTAATCTGTATCAGATTGTTTTAATTCCGTGTATTAATTAAGTTATTTGGATTCTTTGTTAATTTCACCTTAATCTATCAACATACTATATTGTTTCTCGTCGTTATGCATTAATTAAAGAGATTTTTCGATTCTTCGACAATCAATAGTGTCATTTGGTATCAAATTATCGTTGATTAGAAGCAATTAATTATAAAAGCTTATTCAAAACTGATATGAGCATTCAAAACATTTGTAATGCAGAGATTTTGAAGAAAATATTTTTGCTCCTGAAATGCAATTGACTCTGGATTGCGAAAAGCTAATTTTCCAGAAACGCTACTCATCCAAAGAATTTTCTTGCTACACAATGCATGACGGGAAGTGGACTTTAATGGTTTTTAAACAGTTTTCAAGTTTTCAATCGTAATAAAATTGTAACATGCATGAAGCAGGGACTTGCCTCTAACTGCTAATCATCTCTAAGTTGAATGGGAATCAAATCTTTAAACTAAGGGGCCGTTCACTTATTACGTTCGCATTTTAGGGGGAAGGGGGGGTTTGAAAAATTGTAACAAAATGTAACATGGGGGGGGGGGGGGGGGTCAAGAAGTATGTAACGTTCTAACTGTCGTCTGTGTTTTAAAAAGAAAGTTCACGAAAAAAATTTGTTTACAAATTCACACCAAAAACATTTTTTTAAATTTTCCACCTTTTTAATGATTTATGAATGTCCAGATCACTTTTGATAGCTAGGCAATACATAGTTTTTGTTATATAAAGTAACAAATCAATAGAAAACTGGTTTACAAGACTTTAAAATACAATCATGGAAATTTTCAAAATTAAATCAATCATAAGTTTAAAAGTAAATCTCTTTAAATATGTCATTCATATGATGATTAATATGATCCCATCATTGTGATATTTATATCAAAGTTGATTGAATTTTCCAAAATTCAATCAGGCATAATATTTTTCATGACATTTTTGAATTTTCTTCAAAAAAAACAAATTTTTGCTTTAAATCTTAATCCAATAATTTATGAGAATACTAATAGTATCAATCAAAACATGACCTATTAAGCTGTACAGTATTTTGAAGTTTAAGAAAAAAAAAATACAAAAGAAATCTAACCGTCTTTTTAGATTTAAAAGATTAAAAGAAATAAAATAAAATTTCGAACGTTCAGGGGGGGGGGGGGGTGAGTTGTAACATATTGTAACAAGGGGGGAGAGGGGGTGAAAAAAGTCGTTTTTTTGCGTAACGTAACGTCAATTATATTCAAGTCTGAAAATTTAATTCTTTATACTATTCCTACTTTTTATTTCCCATACAAAAACTTCATATTACTTCATATTTTCGTGTATGTATTCAAAGACTATTGGAAGAGATCACGATCCTAAAACCACTAAGTTTCTGTCGATGCAATGTTCAACACTTTATAAAGTTAAGTCAAACATGGATTTCAAAAAATTGAAATATTTTTCATGCTGGTATGGAAAGTCAACACCCAAAAGTTATTGCGAATAATTCTCTAAATCAAATTATCATATCAAAAAGCTGTCAACAGTGTAAATAAATGTGTTATCTGTAAGCGTCAAAATTATTATGTTTTTATGTTATAGAAATGTGTAAAAACCTTTTAGTGTCAACATATGTGTGAAAAAATCATAATTCTTATTTGAACTCCGACTGCTCGTACTCAGCATGAAAGGAATTTCAATGTGCTTTGGGGGGAAAATGAGAAAATCCCGTATAAAAATGTTTTTCCAACTTTTCTTTCTCATCACTACCTTAGGCACATTAAATGTATGACATATAATATTTTAATCCTCACATATGTCGTCGAATTTAAGGTATAGAATTTGTGTAAAACATGTTCCTCCTATTGTCATAGAATTTAAGGGGTTTTCAATCACTCTTCCTTTCTATGTCAAATTTCAATTTCGAATAATTTTAAGGAATATACCCGGCAATTTTAGTACACACAAGTTTCCTTTATCTAAAATTTTTAACTTTTTTTGAGTTTTCTTCTCATTTCTTTAAGAAAGAAATATTTATACAATTCATTGTACTTTCAGCACATTCTTAAGTTTGACATGAGTCATCGAGAATAATGAAAAAAGTATAAGGTATGCAAATCTAACATGTCATTCATACAAATAAGAAGACAAATATTATGATGTTTATTGAGAGTCAACAAAATTCTCTCACATATACCTACATCCTCTTTTTCTACATTCTGTTATAACATCCAACCCTCTTTTACTTCTTTATTATGAAACGTGACAAGAACGAATGTTAAGTTGCAATAAGAGTTTTCCGCACCAAAACTTTTTGCTCACCCAACATTCATAATTAACTTAATGAAACCGCTAAGAATAATATTTAAGGAATATGAGGTATAACTTTTGCGTGATTTTACTTTTTTTCAGCCTTTAATGTGTAGATTTATTTTGATTTAGAAAAAGTATCAAATTCCAGACGAATGTATTTTAATCCCACTCTCATCGTCTATTAACTATCTAGTGGATACAAAAACATGTATGATTTTATGTGGCTCACCAGCCTATCATATTTATTTTTCATAACGGATAAAGCAACTTTAAAGTGTTTTCTACAGCATTGAACCCTTAAGTTAAAACGTAGAAAACAACAAAGCACTGGATAATGTTCAAAAATGTCATTTGTGAGGCTCAGTTCACAAAGTTCAGTCGATATTATATAAAAATGTTAAGGAATCCGGCTGGTGAAAGAAATAAACAGCCAATTTTAGAAACTCTTCAACAGTATATTGATGTCAATAAAGAAAGTAGATTGTTGGAGATATCTTCAGGTAATAACTTAATTAATTTTTGAAAAATAATTTTTTACAATGATGATTTCTTAAGGATGCGGACTTCATATTTCATTTATATCGTCATATTTTCCAATGACAAGGTTCCAGCCATCAGAGTATGACAAAGCTTTATTTAAAAGTATTAAGGAATATACAAAAGACTGTCGAAATGTCAACGAGCCTATTTTAATCGATATTTCAAAAGATGTTGAATGTTGGGATTCAATGTGTGATGGGCAATTTCTAAATTTGTGCACAAATGTTTTTGATTATATGCTGAATATAAATATGATTCATATAACGGCGCTTGAGTGTACTGAAGGATTGTTTAAAAATTGCTCTAAACTTTTAAAGCCAAATGGATTGTTATTTACTTATGGACCTTATAGCATAAATAATGTTTTAATACCTGAAAGCAATGTTTCATTTGATAAAGGCTTGCGTCGTCAAAATCCATGTTGGGGTATAAGAGACATTGCTGATTTAAAATCTTTAGCACAAAAAAATTCAATGAATCTCCTTAAAATCCATGATTTGCCATCCAATAATAAATTACTAGTTTGGAATAAAAATTAATTTTTTTTGATCTTTTCACTGATTATTTTATTATTTAATTTAAATAAATCTATTTTATCTAAGCTATTTGAGGAAAGAAGGAAGGTTGATACAAAATTCTAAGAAAAATGTATTTTCAGAAAGTAGGAAAATAGAAGCAAATGAAATTTATTGAAATGGGAAGAAAATTAAGCATCAATTCAGTCTCTAAAATTATAATCTCCAGTTTTTTAGTCACAAGTCTTATTTTGCGAATCCCCGTCACGCTTAGTATAAAACAAAATGTATGGCTTACATTCGGCCACAACTTGTTCAGTAACTTCTTTAACCGAAGAATCATTGAAATGCATCCAGACGCCGCTATTTAATCCATATGATGTATAATGACCATTCGATGTTCCTGAACCATGATGCACGATAACTGCAGCCAAGTCATAAATACTGTTAGAATTCGATCGTCGAGTTTCAGGTCCACTATTTAATACAAATTTCGATAAATCTAATGCTTGGATTGGAAATTTAATGCGGAGATCTATTTTTGTTCTGTAAAAGTTATTTGTGATTAGCAGAGGATACAATAGTAAATTATTCAACTTTACCTATAATAACTATTCCAGCGAAATCTTTTAATGTGAAGACACAAGACATTCGGTAAGCGACGTATCCAAAATCGTTTTGTTGATCGTTGCTTCTTTTTACAATTGCTGCAGTAATAAAGTTCTGTTTCAGTAAGCTCTTCAATAGCAACAAAGCTTGAAAGACAGTCTGAGATATGACAAACAGGTGGCTTATCAGAATCATCTAAATCCTTGTAGTACTTTTCAGGAATGTCTAAAGAAAGGTCAAGAAACGGATCGTGTTTTCTACTCTCTTGTCCACACATCAAGCACTTAACTTCACTCAACAATGTTCCACCAAAAATATTTGTTACAAACGATGAGCCTTTTTTAGACGGCGATGGACAGACAAAATTTTTCATTTTACTATTTGATGGGGATGAAGGTATTGAATTTGGAATCGTTTGTAGCTCTGTATGCAATCTATCAAGCATATATCGAAGAAATTCATGGGAATCGTTCTGATGATATCCTTTAAATTGAGGTACAACCTTCCATATTACCAAGAAAAGACCTTCTGGCGATATTGAAGCTTTATTGTTATCTATTCCGCTATTAAGATCAATCAAAACCTAAAATTTTTATCGTAATATTATCATACATTATCATCATTAGCTTTAAAGTTGATTTGTGCAAATATTACCTTTCGTAGCTCTTCAACCAAAAATATTTCATCCAGATTCTCTTTAATGCTTCTCGTATACAATCTGGACTTGGGTTGTTCGATTTTCGGCAGGCTACTAAAGTAATCAGTAAACTGTTGGATATTATGAAGCGACTGAAGCACGCTGTTCATAAAGCAAGTATTCCCCAAATTTTTAAGACCAACTCCCTTCTTTTTACTGATTGAAGCTTTCTTCCTAACATTTTTCTGCGTATCAAGCTCATCATCTGATTTCGTGCGCTTTCTTGGTCTCAAATTGATACCGGATGACGATAAGGAATCGAGCCCACTATCATAAGAACTTGTACTGCTGGTTGTATCCTGTTGTTGATTAGACAGCGATTTAGTAGAAGCTTCTTCAAGATTTAAGGATGTCTCAGAATCGCTTGTACCATTATCATTTGTGTAAGAATGAATTTCAGTCCTTATTTCATTAAGGTCATCTTCATCTTCGACAAAATCATTACAATCATAACAGTAAGCGGAAGTTGTATTTATACTTATTGCAACTAAGTGCCCCGTATTCTCAGAATGCAATTTAGCATGTTCATTAATATATCTCGAACAATAAATACTTCCACATTTAAGACACATCCAGTTGTCTTTATTATCTTTACAGTCTAAATTTTTAAAGAGTTTTTTAATTATTGTATTGTCAATTTAATTATAAATTTTTAAACCAAGCTCTACATCTTTAAAAGTATTCAGCTATAATCAATAAATCTACTTGAAAACATTCAAAAAAGTCAAATAAAGCATATAAACACTTTTTTTTTTCAACAAGATATACATAATTCAAGATTTTGGAAATAGAACTTAATAAAATGATTTAATGGATATAAAAATCTTACCCAAACATTCAAATTTGTTCTCGACTCTTTTCATTAATTTTTGCATTTTTAGAAAATTCCGATCAATTCCTATGCCATCTTTTAAATGGATACAATTCTTCGATTCCATTCTACTTATTTTTAATTAAACAGCTAATAAAATAGAATATAATATTTTTTATATCTCTTTTTTTCTTTCTCAAATTTAATCCTGATTTTTTTCAGTCGACTAATCTTACTATACACGCTTTTATTTCACTCGCATATATGCGTTGCACAGTCTTACACAATCTCCAATATATTTTTCGACCACTTCTTCACTTGAATTTAAGTTAAGATAATTGCGTAAATCAATCAATTTTATAATGAGATGTTTTATGAGTGAAAGCTTTATAGGTTTAAAATATATTTTAAAAACTTAACGTATTTTTAAAAATTGAAATGTTCTTCAATGTCAGTGATGTATATAAGTTTATCAAAGTGTTCATTTCCTTAAACGTTGTTCAGTTTGTTATTAACTTTGTATTTAAAAAAATGAAGAAGCAACGTACACACAAAAGATTTTTTATAGCAATTACATACCGATTTAAACTTATTACAGCTGTTAAAGATTTTTTAACATTTTTTCATGGATTTTTTGACAAAGATAGCTAACGTCATTCAAAATTTCAAAAGTGATCAAAAAATAGGAGAAAAATTTGAGGAAATTTTGTGAAAAAGAAAATTTATTATTAATTGGACTATAATAAAGATATTGGTAGCATAAATATGAAATAACAAAATATAAAGTCTACTTCTCCTATTGCCAATATATGTTTTAAAGAAATTATCTGTTTATTGGAATAAATTGAAATTTTAAAGAAATTGTGCTGCAAAAAAAAATGAAAAAGAAAATTTGAAAAAGTTGCAAGAGAACAAATAATGCAACATAAAAGTTTTCATGATGTTTACATAAATTTATAAACTGTATTAAATAATCAATTGGTGCTCATAATTTAAATCAAATATCAAAAGATAAATTTCAAGTGTTACTGTCGTTTTCATTGAGGTTTTTTTGTGTTTTCAATATATTTTCAACCAAACGAAATGGCTAACAGATTTAATCAGGTAAATCGTGAATTTCTTTCTTTAAAAAATACATTCGTCAAGTAGCAATTAGAGGAACAAAATCAATAATCTATATATATACATATATACATATAAAGTATTCAAAGGCCACAAATACATTAATTATTTACAACAAACAATGTATATGAGTCAAGTAATTCTTTACGAAAGAAATATTTCTATTTACTGTTACATCTCGTTTCTTCAGTCTATAGCTATATACACACATATTTATAGAAAGTAAAAGACATCAAGAATACTCCTTTTTGCATAAATTATATCCAAAAGTTTTACACTTACAAATTTAATGAATGAAAGATTTGTATTATTGCTTCTTGTTACTTCTTATTATTTATGTAATGACCTTCTGCTACTTTTGTTGGAAATTAGAGCCTATTTTAGGTTTAAAATATCATGTAGTAACTTAACGCTTTTATTCTTTTAAAATTTAATCAGAAAGTAGATCCAGAGTTAATATTTACAAAGCAGGAAAGAATTGGAAAAGGCTCATTTGGTGAAGTATTTAAAGGTGTTGACAATCGTTCACAGCAAATAGTTGCCATAAAGATTATTGACTTAGAAGAGGCTGAAGATGAAATTGAAGATATTCAGCAGGAAATCATGGTTTTATCACAATGTGATTCACCATATGTCACAAAATATTTTGGATCCTTTCTAAAAGGAACAAAACTATGGATTATTATGGAATATTTAGGAGGTGGATCAGCCTTGGATCTTATGAAAGCAGGATTGTTCGAGGAGATGCATATTGCAATAATTCTCAGAGAAGTACTGAAAGGACTGGATTATTTACACTCTGAGAGGAAGCTTCATCGTGACATTAAAGCCGCAAATGTATTATTAAGTGAAATGGGAGATGTAAAATTGGTAAGCCTTACATTCCTTTCTCCCTTTAGCATTCTTTTTATTATAATCAATGTTTTTCTTCAATTTAGGCTGATTTTGGTGTTGCAGGCCAGCTTACAAATACGACGTCCAAAAGAAACACATTTGTTGGAACTCCATTTTGGTAATAATCAAAACATAATAGTAAAAATCATATAATTAACATGTGTAATTTCAATAGGATGGCACCTGAAGTGATAAAACAATCTATGTATGATTCAAAAGCTGATATTTGGTCACTAGGCATAACTGCAATTGAGCTTGCGAAAGGAGAACCCCCCAACTCTGAATTGCATCCAATGCGTGTACTTTTTTTGATTCCTAAAAATAATCCGCCACAATTGACCGGAAGTTATTCTAAACCATTTAAAGATTTTGTTGAAGCGTGCCTAAATAAAGACCCAGAAAATGTAAGTAGTCCGTTTAATTAAGTGTTATTGTTTTTCTAATATGATTCCTTGATTATTGCAGAGACCGACAGCAAAAGAGCTTTTAAAGTATCCATTTATAAAGAAGGCAAAGAAAAATGCATATTTGATTGATTTGATCGATCGTTTCAAGAAATGGAAGAACCAGAAAGGCGAGGAAAGCGAAACGGAATCAGAAAATTCAGATTCGTAAGTGTTTATTATACTTTATATAATCATTTAAATTCATTTTTCAAACGTTTACTAATTAGGGAGGAGTCAAAACCAGATAGCGACTTGGACGAACCATGGATTATGACTGTGAAAGGAATGAAAGGAAATGCACATAATAAACCTTCTGTTTTTACACTTGAGGATACTTCTTTCAATAGCAGTTCACCAAACAACTGTGGAAGTCCTTCGCGAGATGTAAATTTGAATCATTTGAGTTTGACAAGTTCATCACAGAATTTACAGCAAAAGCAAGGATTTTCACCAAGCAATTCGCCAACTCGCGAAACCCCAGAGACACAGATATCACAAAAATCTATTGTGCACTTAAAAGAGAAGAAAGACGAGCGGTATGTGATTGAGTCCTCAATCGAAAACACCAAAAACGAAGAATTGGTTGTGAAAAGTCCTGAAAAAGATTTCGATAGGCCATTAAAGGAGGTAAGGATAACAGATTCGTTTTTATGTATTGTTGCTATACATTTCTTTTTAATCTCTTTTAAAGACGATCGAACATGAGGTTAAAGAGGATACAAGAAACGGACGTACTGCTATAAACATTCCAAGCTCCGAAATTCCATCGCCAAAATCACCACAAAGTGCGGTTGAAAAACGAAATTCATTCAAATTTCAAGAACAAAAAGAGCATCATCGCGAACATAATGGTGCCAAATCAGGCAATCTTTATAACAATAATAAAGTAAATAGCGCTTGCCTTAACAATTTAATTCTACCACTTTTATCAGAGGTAAGTACTTCATTTCTTATGTCATCATATTTATTATTATTGTTATACCCCGTACTATTAAACAAACAAGAATTTATTCATTGATAAAAAAAAAAAATCCCTGAAATATTTTTTTTGATATCAACGCATTTTTTCGTTTTCAGATAACAAGTAATCGCAATCAATATCATCATAGTAATAATAACAACAACAACAATAATAATGGTAACAGAAATTCTACCGATGTTGTTGACTTGAAATCGTCATTTGAACTTGCAGAACGGAGCTGTCCTGGTGTTACAGATTTATTTATTAAAGAGATCATTCATAAACTGATGCCTGGATTTTCGGAAACAAGAATTAATCACATCATTGATAAAATGTCAAGATAAACTATAAAGCACGTTATTTTGTTATAGCATTTTTGTGTTGAAGAAAGAATTTTGAATTTATAATTATTGATTGATTCGCGCATTACGTTTTATTATCACTGAAATTATTTCAGCATGTTCTTAAATTAAATGTTTCAAAGTAAAAAATAATTCTTATCTAAATTATTAAGCTGACCATACATTTTCAACAAAGAAATATCGAAATTTAAATCAAAAAAAAAAGTCCAACAAAATATTTGTTCAATGATTTAAAAATTTCATCGTTTTCAGCACTATTTATTAAGATTGTATTAAATAACGGATTGTACTTTGGAAGCAACAAGCATTGCGGCCAGTCCGATATTTACGTCTTAAAATTACTCTTATTCAACTTCGATCAATTTTTGAAACATGTAATTTAAATATTGGCAGACACAATGAGATTTGGATGATTCTTTTCGAAAAGCTTTTTGATGAAAATGGGAACTGATATTAATTCTGTGAGCATGGACGTAATTGCGTGTTGAAAATGCAGTAAATTATAAAACAAAACGTTAATTTAAAAATTCATTCATTTCACAATAATTTATTATTAATATTATCATTTATTAAAGTTTTAAAATATTAGTTCACTTTATCACAAACGAAAATGTATAAGAGATACATAATAATTTATTAATTTCATCTTAATTTTCTTTCAATTATTAAAGTTAATCTATTTGAAGAAACCGATACTAGAAAAAAGTTTTAAAAATTTAATTAAAATAATCCAATAAATTATCACGATTCTTCCAAATGTGGGATGAGCATCCTTTTTATTTTTCTTCACCCTAATAGTTTTCAAACTGGACAAGTTATTCTGTGACGTAAAAAATCAGGACCTTATTAATGCGGCCCAGAAGAGTTTTAAATAAATCAAGTAACGGACCCCGTTTTGTGGAAGCACAAAAATCAAAATGGTTTATTATATTCACACCGTTTTCACGTGTGAATCTATTGGTTTTGTTCAGATTGAAAAATCAGTTTTTTGAATTTTGTGAGGATATGGACCAAAAAACCTTAAATGTTCAGAGATGAAAAGTTTGTGCCTTGAATTTCACATCTTTTTCAAATTGGTTGCGGCATTGCTGAGAAAATCGCAAAATATGCTTTCTGTAAGCAAGCAAACGAGCAAGTTAATCAGCAAGAAATCTCAATAACAAGACATTGTAGAGACTTCTAGTTTTTTACATTTGATCCGTACTGCTTTATAGAAGAGCTTTATGTATTAAATGTATTTCCTACTTGGTTCTTTACTCAAAAAAAATTTAGGATGTTTTATTTGTATTTGTTTTCAGCACTTGAATATTTATGCAAGTTTCAATCCATTTGGATAAACCCTCGAAGAAAAAAAGACAAAATTGATTTTGACTAGGGTCGCCCCTAGTCCAAAATTGAAAATGTATTTCCTACTTGATTTTTTGCTCAAAAAATTTAGGATGATTTATTTGTATTTGTTTTAAGCACTTGAATATTTATGCAAGTTTCAATCCATTTGGATAAACCCTCGAAGAAAAAAGTGACAAAATTGATTTTGACTAGGGTCGCCCCTAGTCCAAAATTGAAAATGTATTTCCTACTTGGTTCTTCTCTCAAAAATTTTTAAGATGTTTTATTTGTTTTTGTTTTAAACACTTGAATATTAATGCAAAGTTTTAATCCATTTGGATAAACCCTCGAAGAAAAAATGACAAAATTGATTTTGACTAGGGTCGCCCCTAGTCCAAAATTGAAAATGTATTTCCTACTTGGTTCTTTGCTCAAAAAAATTTTAAGATGTTTTATTTGTATTTGTTTTTAGCACTTTTATGCAAAGTTTCAATTCATTTGGATAAACCCTCGAAGAAAAAAGTGACAAAATTGATTTTGACTAGGGTCGCCCCTAGTCCAAAATTGAAAATGTATTTCCTACTTGGTTCTTTGCTCAAAAAAATTTTAAGATGTTTTATTTGTATTTGTTTTAAGCACTTGAATATTTATGCAAGTTTCAATCTATTTGGATAAACCCTCGAAGAAAAAAGTGACAAAATTGATTTTGACTAGGGTCGCCCCTAGTCCAAAATTGAAAATGTATTTCCTACTTGGTTCTTCTCTCAAAAAATTTTAAGATGTTTTATTTGTATTTGTTTTAAACACTTGAATATTTATGCAAGTTTCAATCTATTTGGATAAACCCTCGAAGAAAAAAGTGACAAAATTGATTTTGACTAGGGTCGCCCCTAGTCCAAAATTGAAAATGTATTTCCTACTTGGTTCTTCTCTCAAAAAATTTTAAGTTGTTTTATTTGTATTTGTTTTAAACACTTAAATATTTATGCAAGTTTTAATCTATTTGGATAAACCCTCGAAGAAAAAAGTGACAAAATTGATTTTGGCTAGGGTCGCCCCTAGTCCAAAATTGAAAATGTATTTCCTATTTGGTTCTTCTCTCAAAAAATTTTAAGATGTTTTATTTGTATTTGTTTTAAACACTTGAATATTTATGCAAGTTTCAATCTATTTGGATAAACCCTCGAAGAAAAAAGTGACAAAATTGATTTTGACTAGGGTCGCCCCTAGTCCAAAATTGAAAATGTATTTCCTTCTTGGTTCTTTGCTCACAAAAAATTTTATAATGTTTTATTTGTTTTTGTTTTAGGCACAAGAATAGTTATGCAAAGTTTTTAATCCATTTGGATAAACCCTCGAAGAAAAAAGTGACAAAATTGATTTTGGCTAGGGTCGCCCCTAGTCCAAAATTGAAAATGTATTTCCTACTTGGTTCTTCTCTCAAAAAATTTTAAGATGTTTTATTTGTATTTGTTTTAAACACTTGAATATTTATGCAAGTTTCAATCTATTTGGATAAACCCTCGAAGAAAAAAGTGACAAAATTGATTTTGACTAGGGTCGCCCCTAGTCCAAAATTGAAAATGTATTTCCTACTTGGTTCTTTGCTCAAAAAAAATTTGGGTTGTTTTATTTGTATTTGTTTTTAGCACTAGAATATTTATGCAAAGTTTTAATCCATTTGGATAAACCCTCGAAGAAAAAAGTTACAAAATTGATTTTGACTAGGGTCGCCCCTAGTCCAAAATTGAAAATGTATTTCCTACTTGGTTCTTTGCTCAAAAAAATTTTAAGATGTTTTATTTGTATTTGTTTTTAGCACTTTTATGCAAAGTTTCAATTCATTTGGATAAACCCTCGAAGAAAAAAGTGACAAAATTGATTTTGACTAGGGTCGCCCCTAGTCCAAAATTGAAAATGTATTTTCTTCTTGGTTCTTTGCTCAAATAAATTTTAAAATGTTTTATTTGTATTTGTTTTAAGCACTTGAATATTTATGCAAGTTTCAATCTATTTGGATAAACCCTCGAAGAAAAAAGTGACAAAATTGATTTTGACTAGGGTCGCCCCTAGTCCAAAATTGAAAATGTATTTCCTACTTGGTTCTTCTCTCAAAAAATTTTAAGATGTTTTATTTGTATTTGTTTTAAACACTTGAATATTTATGCAAGTTTCAATCTATTTGGATAAACCCTCGAAGAAAAAAGTGACAAAATTGATTTTGACTAGGGTCGCCCCTAGTCCAAAATTGAAAATGTATTTCCTACTTGGTTCTTCTCTCAAAAAATTTTAAGTTGTTTTATTTGTATTTGTTTTAAACACTTAAATATTTATGCAAGTTTTAATCTATTTGGATAAACCCTCGAAGAAAAAAGTGACAAAATTGATTTTGGCTAGGGTCGCCCCTAGTCCAAAATTGAAAATGTATTTCCTATTTGGTTCTTCTCTCAAAAAATTTTAAGATGTTTTATTTGTATTTGTTTTAAACACTTGAATATTTATGCAAGTTTCAATCTATTTGGATAAACCCTCGAAGAAAAAAGTGACAAAATTGATTTTGACTAGGGTCGCCCCTAGTCCAAAATTGAAAATGTATTTCCTTCTTGGTTCTTTGCTCACAAAAAATTTTATAATGTTTTATTTGTTTTTGTTTTAGGCACAAGAATAGTTATGCAAAGTTTTTAATCCATTTGGATAAACCCTCGAAGAAAAAAGTGACAAAATTGATTTTGGCTAGGGTCGCCCCTAGTCCAAAATTGAAAATGTATTTCCTACTTGGTTCTTCTCTCAAAAAATTTTAAGATGTTTTATTTGTATTTGTTTTAAACACTTGAATATTTATGCAAGTTTCAATCTATTTGGATAAACCCTCGAAGAAAAAAGTGACAAAATTGATTTTGACTAGGGTCGCCCCTAGTCCAAAATTGAAAATGTATTTCCTACTTGGTTCTTTGCTCAAAAAAAATTTGGGTTGTTTTATTTGTATTTGTTTTTAGCACTAGAATATTTATGCAAAGTTTTAATCCATTTGGATAAACCCTCGAAGAAAAAAGTTACAAAATTGATTTTGACTAGGGTCGCCCCTAGTCCAAAATTGAAAATGTATTTCCTACTTGGTTCTTTGCTCAAAAAAATTTTAAGATGTTTTATTTGTATTTGTTTTTAGCACTTTTATGCAAAGTTTCAATTCATTTGGATAAACCCTCGAAGAAAAAAGTGACAAAATTGATTTTGACTAGGGTCGCCCCTAGTCCAAAATTGAAAATGTATTTCCTTCTTGGTTCTTTGCTCAAATAAATTTTAAAATGTTTTATTTGTATTTGTTTTAAGCACTTGAATATTTATGCAAGTTTCAATCTATTTGGATAAACCCTCGAAGAAAAAAGTGACAAAATTGATTTTGACTAGGGTCGCCCCTAGTCCAAAATTGAAAATGTATTTCCTACTTGGTTCTTCTCTCAAAAAATTTTAAGTTGTTTTATTTGTATTTGTTTTAAACACTTAAATATTTATGCAAGTTTTAATCTATTTGGATAAACCCTCGAAGAAAAAAGTGACAAAATTGATTTTGGCTAGGGTCGCCCCTAGTCCAAAATTGAAAATGTATTTCCTTCTTGGTTCTTTGCTCACAAAAAATTTTATAATGTTTTATTTGTTTTTGTTTTAGGCACAAGAATAGTTATGCAAAGTTTTTAATCCAT